TAACAAACCAAATGGAAAGAAAATCGAAATTTAAATGCAAAAGAGCTCCTCTCAATTTGTAAATATTTAAAATCATTATTGCCTAGAGATTTTCTGTTTATGTAGAATATGGATTGGGAATAGCTTTATATATGAAAATACAACAGATAAAAATTCCTACCAGAAAGAAAAAATAATTTGAAAAGTCTATCTTTATATTTCCTTAAGAAAACGTAAATAAGGAATATAATATGCTGCTTTTGTTAAAACTAAAATAGGAAATATGGACACACATTTTAAATAAAATTATACCTTTTATATATTTAATATATATTTTATATATTTAGAAAAAAAAGTAGAAGAAATTAAGTAGAGATACAAATCTCTGTTTTGAATGAATTGTGGGTTTTCTTAATTTTTTTCCTCTGGTCTCGCAAAGGGAAAATAAATAAATAAAATTAAGTAGTTTAAAGCAAAACTATAGAGAAGGCGATGAGAGAATGGGCAAAGAAAGAGAACAAAAGTTGTTCAAGGATTGCAAATTGCAATTACAAAAGGCAACAACAAAATCGGCTAAAGCTGCCAGACGGGCCAACAACAACAGCCATCACATCAACAATGAAATGGCAAAGTAAAAAGATAAAAACTACCTTGGCCCAGTATTAAAAGCGCCTATAAAACTCAACGCCCCTGTGTGTGGGTGTGGGTGAATCTCGTATATACATAGACACTCGTGCATTGGCTATGGATATAGATACTCGGGCAGGGACCAACTGATTCTGCTGCAGCAGCAGCGCCAATAACAAGCAACAATAAATGTCACTGCACACCGTCGAACCCCCCCGCGTAAGTCACTGCCCCCCCCTCAAGTGGCAAAAGTGCATTGAAGACGTGACCAAGTCGCCAAAAAAGAACATAACAGCAAGAAAACTTTCGTTTCATTTCATTTCAGTTTCAGTGCAACGTGGCGTATGGTTATTATGGTTCTTTTTTCTGCACGGGAAAAAAAATAGCATCAAGTTTAGTCGCTGGTCTTATATAAATTGGAGCATAAGAATAATTATGTCAAAAAGTTTAACAAGTTAGTATCTGAATGAACTAAATTGAAGAATCAAAATCACTTTTAAGAATTGGTTTTACTTAATTTAATTTAATTTAATTTTATCTCAAAGAGACTTTATATGTGTCTCTTTAAGATAAAACTTTTTAAAACGGGTTTTTTGCCTTTGCCACTCGAAACAGATTAATTATGCAACATTTATCATTATTCATTATTTACTATTTAGTAAATAAACAAACATTATTTAGGTGGAACAAAAAACGAACACCCCATGAAAAAACGTTATATATCGGGTTGCTTTAATCCAGTTAAATACTTCGCTTTTGCATTTAATTCTTATTTTTGCTTTATGTTAAAAAAAGTAAAATAAGGGTTTATAATTAAAATAAGAAATCTATACGGCAAAGTTTTTTGCCAGTGTTGTAGCATAAAATTGAAGAGTTCTGAACATGAGCAGGAGAGTGGTGTTCAACAGTCTTATCAGTGACAAAGTTTGCCCAAGTCAAGCACTCGACATATTTGTCGACCAAAGATTGGAGGAGGCACCAGCAGTTGGCACAGAAAAAGTGCAAAAAAAAGAGAAATAAGGGAAAACCTGGCCAACCTCAATGCTGTCGTTGCAGCCTGATAAGACACACACACATTGTGCAAATTGGCCAAGTCATAAAGGCGAACTCAATTTGCTGTCGATCACGTTTTTTTTTAGCCATTTCCCGCAGCCCAACTAGTGCAACAATGGAAATCTTTTTATTACCAAAGAAGTAGAGCAGCCAAATAAAAGAGGAAAGTTAAAAGAAATACAATTAAAATTATTTATTAGCGAGCCGACAACAGAAATTGGCCGAGAGCAGAAAGCAGGGATGAAGGGATTATGGGAGGCTGAATTTTGGATGATGGCTAGCAGCGAGAACGGGCGCACATTTGGCCATGTCTTTTTGGCCAGTTGCCAACCTTAACAGAGCAGCAGTGGCAGCAACAATGCGACCAAGTTTTGGTACGCCCATTCTGTTGCCTTTTTGGCTTCTTGGTTTAGAGCTTATTTATGTGCGTTGGCTGCAAAATATGGCGCAGAAAATATTTTCTTTCATCGCCAGCTTTTCATCCTCCATTCTTTTTTTTCAGCTTCTTGTATATTTTTCATTTTGTGGCTTATTTACTGCACAAGGAGCCGAAGCTAATTGGGTTGGTCATCGAGGGGGTGCAGTGCCAAAAGTATAATGCATCTGCATTTTTAACAATGTTTATGGCTGGGAAATATTTGTTGCCTGGTTTTGATTGGCAGTTCTTCATTGGATGTAGTGGTCTATAGTGGCACCGAAATTTATTTGCCAAAATATCCTTTAAATCGGTCAATAACTTATAAATTATTTATTGCCAAGCAAAACTAAGCGTTCTTTGATTTGTGTCATACTGTGGAGAGTTGGTCTGATAAGAAAATGTATTTTAAATTATTTTGTACTATAACACAGGTAAATAATTTATGGGCTTTAAAAAGGATTGAGAAAAGTATGAAAGAGAATAAAATGCTATAAATTATCTTATCAATTTTATATTTTACGGGTGTGTCAAAAAAAAATACAACTTTTTGCGAGCATTGCTTTTAAAAACCATGGTTCAAAATACATTTCCCTTGTTTTACTTGTTTTTTTTAAACAATTTCAGAGAACTTAACAATTGCTTTCTGTGTAATTTTTTTTTCGGTTGTTATTACATTTCAGGGACACTTCTTGGAAAGTAAGCTTTTTGTTTTAAGTATTTAAGTTTAAGACTTTAAATATTTAAATACTTTTCCAAGAAAGGCAAACTCCTCAGCATCTTTTTACTTGTAAATTAATATACTTTTTTGTTTGTTTTAAGTGCTAACTTATTTAAGAATAAATATAGCATAAATTCTTGAAAAAAGTTTAATCACAATAAACACGAATCAGTCATTTGTCATCACCCAAATCTGAAACCTCTGCCTTTGTTGGACTGTTGCAGTGTAGTCATATTAGCTTCGGTCTCGGTTTCTTCGCCGATTCAGCCTCCGTAATTCTTATCAGCAGTAGAAAACAAGAAGTCAGAAGAACGAAGAATGTTGAGCCAAAAAGTTTCAGCAGGCAGTGATAAAGTCAAGTCACTGAACTCGATCTCAACAGAAGCACACAACACACAGGCCTTATCAACCATTCGTGTTATTTGTATTTTTTTATTATTTCGGGGCGCTGTCTCTAAAAAAGTGCCAAAATGCCTCGGATACTTGAATAAGAATGAGCGATTGATTGACAAATCGTGGGAAAAGATGAAAACACGAGACCAATATATTTGTACATATAGATTTATATCTAAGGAGGAAGGGCAAGGCAGGACAAGACTAGGGTTCAATTACCTGGCTGCGGGAAGGTAAACGAGCCAGATAATAGACTCTGGGATGTGAATAAACTCATTTCTTTGCTGCACTCGCATCACATCATTTACCGTGATGTATTACCTTTCCCAAAAACAGATTTGCTAATTAAATGCCAGCCGTATATAAGGCGTATTTCCAACAAAAATTAATTAAGGAATTGTCACATCAATCAGGTTGCAAATTATGGCTTTCGTCTTTCTTTTCTCTTTCGCATGCACAAGAATTTTTAAATAAACAAATAAAATGCAGAAAATAGATTTATGTCCGAGTGCAGGGAAATTTATGACAGATGTAAAAAATGTCCCCCGTTTTATAATATTTTTCCTCTTTCGGTTTTATGAATGACGCTGATTCCGGTGTGAGAAGTGGGATTCGCCACTCAGAACCGAGAACTCTGACTGACCAGCTGCCGGTGGTCATATCCATGGCCCTGACTGACACTTCTACTTATGGGGAAAACGAAAAAATGAAGCGGAAAAATAAGAGCGGAGAAAACACTTGCGTTGATAATGGGAAAAGTTTCGCCTTTTTGTTCTGCCTATATTTGTTGTTCTTTCTTGCAATTCTTTCTTTTGTTTTGACGATGATCCTTGGTCTGGTAATGAGATATGCACTGGGGTAATTTTGTTTACAGTACTTCGCCTTATGTGTGTGCGGGCTCAAGTATTATTCTTTGTAAACATTTCACTCTTTGCCACTGTGTCCAGGTGTTAGTGGTCAGATTGAAATGGAATCGTTTTCCCTGAAAAGTCTGTTGGGCTTTTTCAATTACCTAACCCCAGCTGCTTAAGTTTATTCCAATTACTAGCAGTTGGGCGAATTCCCCCAAAAGTGCTTTTTTCCTACAATAATTTTGAAATTATTAATTTATTTTTCGTAGTTTTGAAAACCATAATAAATAAATTTAATTGTTTTTAATTTTTGCAAAGGTTTTTTAAATTTATAAAACTACGAAAAATTATGCTTGGAAATTGTGAAATATATTTTTTTGTATCTTAGACAGAAGCCCTTTTAAATTTTGCATTAGCTTTTTAATTTCATAATTTATTTTAATCTATTTTATTTGAAATAAAATAAATACAATTATTTTTAAATGGTGTAAAATTAGGAATAAATCAATTTTATCTTAAAAAATCGTTTGGAAAGCCTTGGAATACCTTTCCATTCGATTTTTAAATTCTCAATAAAATGAAATATTCCATGGCATTTCCAACGATTTTTTGTAATATTTTATTTTTTTTAGTTACACGACACATAATTGTAATTTATTTTTGTTTAATGTCAAACAAACTACGGTTTTATATTTTAAAATAAGCCAGTTCTTACAATTTTACAAAAATCATTTCTATATTTTTTAGCAAACAAACGCCGATATTTCTTGTTTACACTATTCACATGGCCATTCGTTCATGTGGTTCACAAGCAGATTCTTACATTGGCCAACCTGTCGTATGCTTAATGACGTGTGCATAATATAAATATTTTGCGACGGCAATAAATTGATTTCTTTATGTCAGCCACAATCTATTACTCAACAATCACGGCGATCACAAACATAAGTTGTTTACCAACCTTTGTGAAATTATTTCCTTCTGCCCTCCAGATCGATTGGCAATACTAATAGAATTCACATACACGGATATCCAAAGTGGTGCTGAAGTATTCCAAAATGCGAAGTTCACGGAGTATCCAAGACTTAATTTATTTTAACACTTTAATGCGGAACTAATGGATTCCGCCTCTTGTATTTCTGTTTGTTTTGTATTCCAAAAAACGAAAGTCTTTATAAAATGCACACAGTGTGAGTAGAATTCTATTTTCCCTTTCGGTTGTTAATGTTTTGGCAGAGTATTATAAATATTTTTGCACTATACTTTGACACATTGCTTTTCCAGATTAAATATTTAACAAAATGCAGTTTTGTGCTGCGATTGGGCAGCAAATATTCCTGGTTGCTATTTTGTTGCGATTTTGTATTTGTATATTTATAGAACACGCACTTCTTCTAAGTGAAATTCTTGTTTGTTTTGGCACTTTCGAGTTTTTACCCTTTGGGCTTTTGGTTTATTTCTGTTTCGGCGGCATCTCTTTTTGTGTGTTGCCGTCTATTTTTAGCAGTACAAATATTCTGCGGTCAGCAATTTAAAAATAACAATAGCTCCACGAGCAGCAAAACCGCATGCACTTCTTGTTTCACTGGGTTTTTGGCTGAAGAATTGGAATTGGTTCCCATACGCAGATGAACAAATGGGAATTTACGTTGTTTTGATTTGATTTGATTGCTGTGTGCTGTTTTTGTGCTGGCGTTTCCACGCGAAGAACGCGATTGTGCTTCAGTTTTTCAGCGATTTTGGAGCGAGCTTCTCCGGCTGCTCAAGAGTCCATGCGACGGATTCCGATTCCGATTTCGATTCCGCTTACCGCTGCGGCGTTCCACTCACTTCGATGAAAATTTTGTAACTATTTTCGAAAAGCGCACGGAACGGACGCAGCTGCGGAGCGACCGACCAGAGAGCTCCGCGCTTAAGAGAGCGCCGACTGCGGACCGGACCAAGAAGAAACGAAGCGGAGCGGAGCGGAGCATCCGCGGTGCTGTTGGCTGTTGGCTGCGGCCACTGAAGACCGCAGATGCGTTGCTCTGCTCTGTAACACTGCCGAAGCGACAGCCGAAGCCCCACGAGCGACAGCTTGGTGGCCAGAGAGAGAGCGAGCGAGAGAGGGCGCGTGAAAGAGACCCAAGCCAAGACAAGAGCCAAGCCCCGCGTTGCACTTGGCCACTTAACAGTGCGCCGCTCTGTTAGCCGTTCTGTTAGCCACCGTTTGTTGTTCTTGCCAGATAGAAGCCATATGTTGGCAAATTTCATGGCTAAATGCCCAATCTAATTGCCCAAAGAAGCCACAGAATGGCTTCGGGGACCACCCACTCACCCCTTTGTCAGGGATGCAAATTCATCAGATTCTTTTTCAACATGGCCGCATTTTTGACATGATTTGAACATTCACAAAATTCATTTTTTTGAGTGAGAAAGAGACGGACTTAAAACAAGTAAATTGATTTAATATTTAATTAGTCAGGGATATGGAAATGCGTGTATGTGGTGAACTTTATTGAGGAACTTCCTTTGGGTAACATGTATGATGGCCGAGTGATATTCAATGATTCACAATCCAAGTCCAAGTATAAAATATATAATGAATAAGAAAGATTAAAAAAATCAGGAAAAAATATTATTTCTTGTTTTAAGAAATATTATTAAGAAATATGATTTGTAATTTACAAAATTATTATTTTGTGTTAAAAAAATTGTTTAACAAATAAATAAAAATAATAATATAAAATTGATTCTGGAGTGTTTTTATCATGGTTGATAAAATATTTATCACCTTTAAAAACTTAAAAATTGTTGTTGTCCCAATCGCTCAGACGAAATTATATTTTTGTCTTTCCAAATACATAGAATTTATATTTTAATTTCTATCAACAAATGATTTGTATTTTAATAACGTTTTCTTAATTTGAAGGCTGGAAAAATTAGGTGCATAAATTAAATTAAGAAATGTATTTCAGTAAAATTTACAAATTTAGGTTCTCAAATTTGAATACATGATTATTTCTAATTTCCAGCCTTGACATCTATCAAAAATCAAAAATTTGGTTGAATTTACTTTGCACTTTCGAAACCAGTTAATTTTCGAAGTGATCAGATCTAATTTGCGGATAAATCCTGTTTGATTATTCTTTCCTAGTTTGCCTTTTGCTTGGGCTTGATTGTCCTTCCCGGTCATTAAAGTCACTGAAAGTATTAACCGAACAACACAAATAACTATGAACGGACAACAATGAGGCTCAAGCACAATAAGCGCTTATTAAATGCCCTGAATGCGAATCAACTTTCAGCTAAATGGAAAGTGCCAGCCGAGGACGCGGGCGAAGTGGCAGCAAAAACAATGAAAATGCCATGGCCGGAAATTCATGCAACGGAAGTTTAAGAAAGGAAGAAAAAGTTACGTAAGATTGGGGTGGCGAAGAAGATTCTGCCAATGCCACTTGGGAGCGTCAGTCACCCGCAAGACAGATCCCACTCCCATCCCCTTTGTGTTTTCCCTTTCCCCAAACTATGATGGCCAGCTGCTACTCAATGAGGTTTCTTTTACCAGACGGCTTTCCTGCTCATTTTATTTAGAAATCCCCAGGATTAAAGCATTGTGGAGATATTTTCTAATTTTTAAAGAAATCCTTTCAATGCAAACTATCAAGCATTTTGAGGCTTTAGTTTTATCAGCTTAAAGTTTTGTTTAAATAAACAGACTACTTAACTTATATTTTATTTAGGTTATTACGAATACCAAGCACTAGCAATAAAACGGCTGGAATTGTCTTGTTTATTGACATGTATTATTGGATCTAGTATTCATATTTTATTAACTGAGCAGCGTAAACCAATCGTTATTTTGTGTGTATCTTAGTTAAATTAAGTGTGTCCTTAAATATGCAACCATGCCTACAACTTTCATCCTTTTGCTCGTCTTTCGTTTTTGCTTTTACATCTGTTCAACCTCTTGCTGGTATCTTTTTGCTCATTTTACCATTTTCCCCTTTCGATTTTCCTTAAACTCATCCTTCTGCCTTTCGAAAAATTTTGCATGCCTTTGCAGAAACAAAGCGAGCGCAAAATGTTTCGCCGCCTGGGAATACAAATGCCAAAAACAAGTGGGGGATCCTCTCCAGCCCGATTGAATTCCATCTGAAAAGCTTTCGTGTGAGGCGCAAGGATGAAGGATACAAGATGCCACATGAATTTCGGCAACAATCAGCAGGGAAAGACTGCATTCTAAGAAATTCTAAAAATCAAAAATAATATTCCAAGGCATAAATCAAGGCAGACCAATATGTCCCGCCCCACGGATTGATTAATGACTGCCCCGGCACTTAGCACGTGCTCCCAGTCAGTCCTGCGAGTCAGTCACTCAGTCAGGTACAAGGACATATATGTATACAGGATTCCCGGGACATTTGCAAAAGTTATTTATGGGGCTATGGGCGAATGCCATTTGTTGTGGTCAACAAATCGCTACACACGAAATTCGGTTTGTGGCCAAAATGAGCAAGATCATTAGAGTCGGGAAAAGGAGAGTGGGACAAGGGTTTATTAGTCACGTCCCAAGAATGCGAATCCCGAGTGGCGATGGCACCAAAAGGTGAAGGCGAGGCTCCAAATATCAAAAACTCTGCGCTAAAAGCAGCCAAAGAAACGAGCTTAAGCCAAATGGCGTTAATCCATGAATTATTGCCTAAAAGCATGCCAAAGCGCATTAAAGTAGAGGGGTGACATCGAGGCGATGGCGAGGAGGATTTTCGGGGCGGTAAGGTGAGAAGATCAGGCAGGTAGCCAAAGGACACAACACCAACAAGATATCAATTGTGTATTAGACAACTGAGAAGTGTGATACTCTTCCAAAATAAACTGCGTTTTCAAAGGGGACGCTCCCACAAAGAAACAGAAGTAACGATTTTATAATTAAAGAGTTAATTAATTGTTTAAACTAGAAACCGTTTAACTAAAACTATTCTGCATTGTTTTTGTTATTTTGTTTAAGTGTATATAATGTAGATAAATATTTAATAAAGACACCGTTTAAATAAAACTATTCTGCATGGTTTTTGTTATTTTTTTAAATTAATATTATGAAGATAAATATTAAAAAAAACAAGAGAGAACGCTATAGTCGGGTGCCCCGAATATCAGATACCCGTTACTCAGGTAAAGGGAGTGCGAGGGAGATGGAGATAGAAACTTTGATCACGCATAACTTTTTAACAAATGGTCCGATTTGAAAAATTTCTTCTACATTTCGATAGGTATTGATAAACACAATAAAACTGCATTTTTACTTTTCCGAAATATTTAAATTTTTAAAATCGTATATAAGCGATTGTGGGCGATAAAGGGGGCGTGGCACCTTTTTGAAACAAACTTGCGCTGCGTAGGAACTCCTAGAATCTGCATGCAAAATGCCAATCTTCTAGCTTTTATAGTTTCCGAGATCTCAGCGTTCATACGGACGGACAGACAGACGGACAGACAGACGGACAGACAGACGGACAGACGGACAGACGGACATGGCTATATCGACTCGGCTAGTGACCCTGATCAAGAATATATATACTTTATAGGGTCGGAAGCGCTTCCTTCTACCTGTTACATACTTTTGCACGAATACAATATACCCTTTTACTCTACGAGTAACGGGTATAAAAATCTGTCATCTAATTGTCGCTTTGTAAAGTTAAAATAATTATTTTTAGTATTTGCGTAAACAGAACAAATAAATAGTCTACAAGGCTTAAAATAAAATAGCCATAGGTAACTTTAGGATTAGGGAACCTTTATTTTGTTTTTCTAATATTTTAAATATTAATAGTTGCAGTATGAAGACTAAAATGGAATAAAAATATTTAAATATTTTTTATTTTTAAATTCAACGAAAAAACTTGAGTATCCTAACCTTTCCCCAATAGCCACAGAGCATTAGCAATGCCCATGAAAGTGCCAATCTGCCAATGAAGAACATGAAACATACATTTTGATTTTTTAACTCCAAAAAGACACGGCGATAAAAAGGTAAAAGAAAAAAGTACCCAAAGTAAAAAACAAGCAAAAACACTGACCGCAAAATAAATAAGAGCCCAACAATAAAAAAAGGGGTAAAGCAAGCCAAATGTTTTGGACCGCACCCATGAGCAGAAGCGGACCAATCAGCCACGCCCCCATCCGTCGCATCCCCCCGCCATAAGCCATATCGTACTTCGCTGTGTGTCACAAGTTTAGAGTTGTTCATTTTTTGTGAGCTGCTGCTTTTTGTTGTTTTTATGAGTATTGACATTATAATCAACGCCGTTTTCAATTTCAACAAACCTTCCTGGGTCGCCCAAAAAGTGGCATCCCCATCCGCTACGCCGACAAAACTTCTGTTTACTTTTGGGTTGCTTTTTGGCATCTTGAACGAGCTCTTTGCTCCTTTTTATTTCCACTTTTCATTTTGCCAAAAAAATATGTAAATTATTGCTGTGTGTGTGCTATGCGTCAGTCACCTGAGTATTTCATTTTTTCCGTGCTGAATGGTCTCGCTTTTATTGGTTTGAAAGATAGTTTCGGACCTGAGCTGATGCCAAATCCCCAAAGAATTTCGATTTGAGACGTATTCCATTTCCATTTACCTGATGGCCTGGGGCGAAAAATGCGCGGTGGAGAGTGGAAAATTCCTGGGTGACTTGAGCATGAATTCAATGGTCGAGAGGGTTGTAAAAATAAAATGAGAGTTAAGAAGAATTGGACGAACTCACAAAACTAATGCTTAATGCTTAACTAATTTTAGGACAGGCATCCCTCGACTACGATTGATTTTAATCAAAACTATCAAATTATATGTCTTTTGTTACACTAGTAAAGTTATAAATGATTGGAAAATAACTATAAAAAC